AAATAATCAATCATTTTATTCCAGTAAAAGAAATGTATCATAAATTTTTCCTTCCTTTTAATTTCTATTTTTTTTATATTTAAAATAAGTTTATCAGAGTGAAAATCGATTAGTTCTATTAAATTTATATTACTATTTGCACTTTTTCTTTTTTTTTTTTTTTTTATAATATTATTTTGCTAATCAAATATTCATATTATGCGCACGCAAAGGAAAGAAAAGCATTAAGTTCATTTTGAATAAACAGGCGAAATTTTTCGTTTTTTTTTCTTTTTCCAAATAAATGAACAAAATTAGTTGACAATCTTAGGAAAAGCTTACAAAAAAAAAAAGAAAGATAAAAAAAAACAAAAACAAAGAAAAAAAGATCAACCCAATTGCATGCCAAATTTCATTATTCAAAGCAATATATATTTATCTAAATTTAACATATTTGCAAGAGGGAGGGGGGGAGGGGGGAAAGAAAAAAAGGAAGTAGAGGGTGAAAATGAATAAAACATTGTTACTTGTTCATTTTGTGTGAAAATTTTCAATTATAGTATTATAATTCATTGGAAGTAGAGGGAAGAAGAGGAATAAGGATAATGAAAGGAAATGGAGGAGAATTTTTAAAACTAAAAATATTGCAAATTTTCGAAGGAAAGCAAATGTATAAAAATTCTCACTTCAAAGAATGGAAGGGAAACAAGTGGAAAAAAAGAAAAAAACGAATTACTTTTTGAAATGACTCAGTTAATATCATACAATTACATTATATTGAATTGAAATTATTAACAAAATAAAATAATCATTGTAGCATGAAATTCTAATTTTTCTTCGAATTAAAAAAAAAAAAGTGATATAATTGTTCGAATTTCGATTATCGCATCATAAAATTAAATGTCACGTCTGAAAAGTGAACAAATAAAAATGAAAGATTGAAATAACGAATAAATGCAGCTGGTAGAATGTCTTAAATGTATTTACAACCGATGTGTGTAGAAAAAAAAAAAGAAAAAAAAGAAGAAAACGAAACCACATGAGCAAAAAT